AGTTAAAGTGGATTTAAAATTTAACTACTATTTTTAATCAACTAAAATCGTGAGCTTGCAAGTGGATTTTATCGAATATAATAACGTCGAATAATCCTTAAATAATAATAAAACTAAAAATTTCTATAATATATATAATATATATATACGATATATATAATATATATATACGATATATATATATATATATATATATATATATATATATGTGTGTGTGTGTATTGTTATAAAATGTTCATAAGTTGAATTATTTCATTATTGAAAGAGATTGTCCAAAATATTTCTACACAGTAGAGTTTTTAATTATTATATTTTATAGCAGTGTTTTGAATTTATGCATTTTTGAAAATAATATATGCTTATAAACTATAATGTTTTATAATTATTTTAATATATATATATATATATATTCATAAGTATATGTGAAAGTAAAAGAATTGAATTTATATAATTTTGTCCACGTTTATATTTGTCCTTGTTCATTGTAGGTGGCACAAAAAGCGTATATATTATGTATCCGGGATGCTTATATTTTATTTCGTGAATAGTCACTAAAACGAAAAAATTTGATTTAGCTTCTCTTCAGTTTATGTTACCACGTAAAACATTAATGAATCAAAATTGTATAAGCAGTTTAAATAAATATCTTACCTATTTTATGATCTAAGATAGGATTTTATTCAGCACTATAATATAGGTAATTTCTAAGAATTTTTAATGTTTAAATCGCTGTCATATATTATTAATTATTAATTTAGTTTTGAGATTATAAAAAGTTACACAAAATGGGTTATGTAAAGTGTTAAATGTAATCAAATAAATATTTAATATATAAATATTAATAATCATATAAAATATAAATAAATAATAATTGTAACATATAATCCTATTTGGTAAATAAACTACTAAAATTTCAGTCCGAGTATTTTTGAAACTTGTATTGCGTTCCGGGATATTCTGTTTATTTCCTGTCGGTGAAACAATTTAAAGATAAGAATAATAATCTACGATGTAGATAATATTATGTTCACTAATATACGTAGTATTACTAATAGTGTGTTAAAGCAGTGCCACAATGTTACATTTTATTGTAATCATAAATAACATATCTAATATTTTTAAATTAAATTATTAGTCTTAAGCTTGAAAAATGTGAAGGAATATGTTGAAATTGCAAAAAAATCCCTAGAAGTAATTTATGTATGAATAAATATACTTAGCCTACGATTTAGGGTGATCTAAATATTAAAATATTCCTACACAAAAAATGTAAAATGGGACGTAATTTATGGCAACCCCATATAATACTTTGTTTAGTGTTATTCAGTTTTTTGATAAATATCCACATAAATCAATTATTTGTATTTTGTAAATTATTACAAATAAACATTAAATACTTATGTGAATATAGGTAATTATTTTTTTTTTTTTAATTAGCTTACAGTATAAAACTATTGTAGTTTTACATTTATAAGTACATAAATGAGAAATTATTACAATTAAAAGGTTAGCACTTCAACGGTCTTATTTTTACAAAATTCGAAATTTTAACCTTGATCACCAGTTTAACACTATCACTATTAATTATCTTCTAATAAGTTATAAGTAAAATAATCTTGATCAGCACAATAAACAATCATAATTATTTTTTTTGCTCAACGTAATTTCTTCCAACACATCAACTATACATAATGTATATATAGATAACAATAATGCGTATTATCCATTATATAATATTAAGTCCGAGCGAATTACTGATCAGCAAAATTATATGTTTAAAAAATATACTTAATATATTATATTGGTAGGTAATAGATAGTGTAATACTGCATTGTTTTGTATTATACGTATACCATAGGCAGTGGCGGTGCCAGGATTTTTTTCTTGGTAAGGCCAATGTGAGGCCAACAATTATAAAATAGGGCCACAAAAATGAGATTTAAGCAAAAAATTGTAAAATATATATAAAAAATATGTAATTTGAAAAACAATATTTTATAATTTTTAAAAATGATAAAATATTATAATATAGAAATATATTTATCTAAATTACATACAGACTGTGCAGTGAACTACAAAATAAAAATACCATTATTGCCTGCTTATGAAAAATAAGAATATTAGTATGTCTAATGTTAGGCCAATGGTAGGGCTAGAAATTTTCAGGTAGGGCCATGGCCCTAGCGCCGTCACTGACCATAGGTGTTCCAGAATTTGTTCAGATTTCGGATTATGTTTTTAACTGTATCAAATTGTAAAGTAATTACAAAATATATATTATTTTAATTAAATAAATTACGAAATAATTCCATAAATAAGAATTAACGGAAATATCTGGTTATAAATATTTATTATTTTTAGATACAAAGTTCTCAGGACTAAGATGGTCATATGTTTTGCTACTTTAGCGAACAACGGATGTCATTAACATTTAATATGACGTTATTTTTTTGCCTGGATAAAATAATGGGATAGACCCGGGAAAATATATTCATTTTTTTTTTTTGTATGAAGACACCCACACGTCACATTACTCGTGATTCCGGCGTTCCCTCCCCCCAAATCGCTATATTTCAAGAGGGAGTTGGCAACAGGTATAGGGGCGTAGGCCTTGGGGTGGCAATGTTGTTAAATGCACCACTGTATAGCAAATATAACACAATTCGAGAAGAAGAAACATAGGTACAGTTAAAATAATTGTTATTATTATAATTAAATTTTTAATTATTTGAAAAATAAATTATACCTTCACTGAGTACGCTTAGTAATCCTAAATAGTTATAGAATGTTATAAGGAATGAACATTTTCAGGTAGTCATCGATATGAACAATAAAATAATTATTTTAGTGAATTCTTAGTAAATGTTAATCAGATAACATTTAGTTTCTCTAATCTACATTGTAGTATACCTACATATAGTGAATCACTCACCAAACCTACCTCCATTTTTTCATTTATCTAACTAAGAATTTATCATAACTTCGATTTTCAGAATTTTTAAGTGTACTTAAATACCATATTTTTACTACTCTGCTTAGATTTTTTATTCCATTTCAAGAGTGTCTTGTGGTAATACTAACTTCTTGTTACTATAAGAATCATCGTTTTCCTTATAAATTATTAATCAGACGACTTTTTTGATAATTGTGATACACTTATGTATTTATATATACAATCATAAGAGATTAAGACAATTTGAAAATTTTAATAATTGATCTTTCAACATTTTATTGCTTGTAATAATGTTCTGAATGCAATGAATCCAATATTATAAATATTTTATATTTTAAGAATTATAGAATATATATGCCTATGAATATAAATTTTAATCATTCAGAAATTTTTAGTTTAAATTTTAATTCAGATACCTACGTCAATATTTTCAAAAGAAAAAAAAACTACTACTTAACAAATCACAGTACAAAAACAGTCAGTATTCTCATTTAAAAAAAAAAAGTTTGTATAATCGAAATACGTCAACACTTAAATTATACTAAACATTTTGATAATTTAAAATATAATCTTTAAGATAAATATAGGTAGGTACTTAAAAATTCCAAAAAATCAGAATTTAAATAAATACATAAAAAAAAAAAATTAAAATAAATAATAATAATAATAATTAATTATTTATAATTAAAGAAAAAATTAGAAATTAACATGAGCTTGGTAAATAATCACCCTATACCTACCTATAATCTATATAGTAAATTTATCATTCTAATTATAATAGTAGCACTATATATACCTACAGTACAACCACTGAAATTCAGCTATCTAATTTATTGTATTTATGTATAGCTATTAGAAAATTTTTTATTTCACCTAAAAGATGCGTGATATTTCAATGTAAAGCTTGACAAGAAAATGTTCAATTTTTTCCCAGCTAATTTAAAAAAGCTAAAATATTTACTTGTTTGAATTGATGATCTAATTTAATTGAGACACCTAATGACCTAATGGTTAAATTTGTACATACATATATATATATACCTATTATTATCTATACATACTGTAACAAATATATTTATTTATTATAGCCGTTTTAGTTTTTTTTTTTATTATTATTATTAAAATAAATCTACAATCTATACAGTTTTGTACGAAAAGTAGGTTTGATAAGTGAAATATAAAATAATTAACATGAATCTTAAGATTAGGGAGGTTACACCCTACAGAGTGACAATAATCACAGTGAAATTTTATGATTAGAAAAGTGTTACCTGCGCAAAATAGTAACACACAGCACTTATTTTACTCACGTATACCTAATGCCGTTGTAGTTAAAAACTTTTTTTCTAATTCTTTTTTTTCAGGAAGTTAATAATAAATAAATACTATTCTTACTAAAAAACCAAAACTTATGTTGGCATCGTCAAAATTAGGATGTTGTCCCCAACCATTCTATAATAACACAGTACTGCGCAGCAACTTGTTATGCGTGTTAAAATGGATTGACAAATGACGGGTTGTTGAGGTGCACCAAACGCGCTTTTACCTATAAATAATTTAGGTGCTCCTTAGTGTGGAAGGGTGATAGAGTGCTGATATTTTAGTATGACGGTGTCGTGACAAGGTGCACCGATTACGGGCAACAATAATATTTTTATTTATCATATAATTTATACAACGCACCATATTCGTGTTATTGATATAGATATAGTACCATCATACCAAGACAAAAATGATTTTCGATCCGTTTTAAAAATGTTTGGTGGTCAGATGATAGTATAATATCATAATTCATAATAATTCGTGCGTATTGTTTCTTATTATTCGTGTATTATAGTCGTCGTTGAGCTCGTCGCGGGTCGCAGCAGCAGCGTCGACGGCGACACCGACTCTGACGACCGCCGCCGCAGTGACGGAACGCGCGCGCGTCTGCGCGACCAATGAGCACGTCCGGGGCGCGACCAACCTGGTCCAGGGCCCTCCTACTGACCAAACGCGCCCGCCACCGCCACAGCCGTCTTCGTCAGTATTCGCACGGAGACGACGAGGAGACGAACGCGACGCGCGTCTCTTCCGCAAACGAAAACGCATTTGCAATCGTATTCGCCTAATAACGGTTTCGATCGGCAGCCGCTCGTTTGACGGGTAAAAATACGAAACGCGCGTGCAGAGCGTATAATTAAACGCGTTTTATAATAACAAACATATGAGATATATTCGTGCAATAACTGTTCGTACATGAGCGCGATTTCGCCGCGCCGCAGCTCCGATCCGACCTCGAAACAGTCTCGCGCCGGTCACGACACTCCTACGCAGGTAGGTACACAGCAGCTGCAGCACGCCGCGCCGCCGGCGTTGTCATCGCATCGAAACGGATCGTAACCGCATCGTCACGGCCACGGCGGACTGCAAACCGACGATGACGTGCGCGTTTCACTAGACGGTGCAGGTTGTCCGGTGGTGCAGCGCGCGAACGACGGCGACGACGACGACGACGACGACGACGACGACGACGACGACAACACGCGCGGCGGCCATCGCATGTCGTACATGTCGCCGAGGGACGTGATCGGCGTCCGCGCCGCCGGCAGCATCAGCATGTCGCCGGGTAGTTGCATGGAAGCGCTCAGCGAGAACTCGGCGTCGAGCGCGGCGGCCGCGGCGGGCGGCTCCGTCACCGTGTCCGACTTTCTGCAGACCAAGCGCAGCCTATCGTTCTCGTCCGAACAGGTATCGTGCATGTGCGAGGCCCTGCAGCAGTCTGGCGACGTCGAGAGACTGGCCAGGTTCCTGTGGTACCTGCCGCCGAGCGAGCTGCTCCGCGGTCAAGAGACCGTCCTCCGGGCCAGGGCTCTAGTGGCGTTTCACAGGTAAAAACTGCACACCGCAGCTCATATATACCTATATACATTTCAATGTCTTATAACAATAATTGTTGTGTTTATTTATCGTATAAGTAGAGTTACTTGCGCGTTTATAATTTCGTATTCAACGTCGGTTATTAATTATCGATGGAATATCACACAGATGTGTACCTACAGACTTCGTTACTGTATATGTATATATATATATATATGCATCAATCGCATGATTACTAATTAATGATACATATTATGCTGGGTCTGGATTTTTAGGTTTTTATAAGTCACCCAAGCACAATATGCAGTTTTATAAGTGAAAAACAGTAATAATAAGATTTATTAGCTGCTAAGGAAAATAGAGCTTACTTGTCTAGCTGATAATAGTTTGTCCTTCACATTTTTAATTGATAAACTAGTTCTCACTATCACAGTGCTATAGATTAAGGGGTTGCTTATTTATACACCGATAAATAATTAATTATATGTTTTCAAATATATTTCAATACATTTACTAATCAATAAAAAAAAAATCTCATAAAAAATATTATTTTTTCAAAGAAACACAATTATATATTTTTACGTATTTATAGGTAACTTATTTTTCCAATCGTATGTTAAAATTGTAATAATATATTATGTTTTATAAGTCTTAAAAAAAAAATGAGCACATACAGTACGATTTAAGAATAATAAATTCATTCGAGTACTCATCTCTTCAACAAAAAAATGTTTATAATGCTTAAAATTGTAAAAAAAGCTATTTAAATACCATTTTTATTAGAGGTAGTTGAGGAGGGTGAGTAAAATATTTGGAACTATAATACTAAGGGTATACACAGGGAACGAAATTCTTCATGAGTTTTTTCATCATTTTGTAATGCAATATTGATGTATTATATTATAATATATCATTTCAAAATCTTAATTGTGCCAGTGAATTTGTTCTAAATTTAACAATATTTCGCTTGATTTTTCGGAATAATTTTATATTTGTAACTTATAATATAATATTTAATACCATCGACCAAAATCGATTGTTGTACACGTTTTGCCCATCAACGACATTGCAATATAAGCATAGTTGTACAAGTTTCCGTATATTAAATAATATGTATACAATAGTATGTTTTATTGTTTTTGTTGTAACCCGTTCAGAAATACCCGGCACTGTTCAAACGAGTAGTTTTTTTTTTTTTAAATTTTCGTTTCGTATAAACACGATATTTAATGTGCACTCTTAAACTCATTGCTGGTCATAAAACAATATATTTTTGTTTCTTTTCTGCTTGCTCTAATATATAACATTAAGTCTAAGTCTAGTTCGTTTTCCTTCTAAACGACCCTCTTTGAAAAAACAAGGTTTTTAAAATCCGTTTATTACGGATAAGTAGAACACACAATAATTATAAATGTTTCCGATAATAAAAATAAAAAACTACATATAATGTACTAAAAATGTATGATAAACGTAAACAAAAAATTATCACATCGACTTATTTCTGGATTCACGCGTTTCAAGTACGGCCCAGTTCTAAAAGTTTATAGCAATTCAATTTTAACACAGTAATAATAACAACAACGACCTTTTGTTCGTGAATTATTATAACAATAATAAATATGAAATATTTTTGTCCAGTGACCCCGGATTGAAATGGGGTTTTTTGAGACATACTATAAGAGATACTGAGCGCTAAAACACATATTTTTTGACGATTTTTAATTTTGACCTTTTAACCTAGCTCTAAAACCAAAATATAATGAATTACAAGTTAAAAGTATGTTTAATTATGTTAACATTTTTTATGTACCTATACCTACAATAATACACAATATTTTCTTTTAGTAATAATAATAATAATAATAATAATAATAATAATAATAAATACATTTCGCACTATATAAAATATTGTGCGCATAATAAATTAAAATTTTTGGTTTAATACTTATTAGTTATAATGTACAAACTTGACTCTAAAGTCAAATAACGCTACGTTTTTTTAAAATAAACCATTACATCGTAATTGCTACGATATAATTAATTTATGGAAAATTCCATTAATTTGAATAAAAATATCCCAATTTATAGAAAACTATTCATTGTACATTTGTATGTTGTACCCCTATTGTAACTAATATATATGTATAATTTTAGTTAAAAATAATGAAAGTTACTCTCCAACAATTATTACTCAAAATATATAAGTTGAATTTCTAATTGTTATACTTATTGAATTGTACTGTTGTTTTTAATGGTTTTCTAAAACAGTAATGTTACATAGGTAAACTGCAGTCGAAATCTATCTATTATTTAAGTTTTACTATACCAATTTAAAACCAGTGATTAATCGTATGTACATTTTGATGAACTTTTTCTCTAAAAGTGTTTTGAAATATAGATTCAAATCTTATAGATTCGATAATCTTAGAGATTTTAAAGTAAACGCCACGATTAGATTTATTGGACCGTGTGTTACATCTGAACTCGAATCGACAGAGTATCTGCGTGCATGAAACGTAAATTTTATGTAGGGGTGTAAATATACACTATATATATGTATATGTACAAGTATACTGTATACAAGTAAACGTGTCATAATGTATCTATACGTAAGTTTTTTTTCAAACTAAAGAAAAAACACATTATTTTAAAACAAATATTATAGATTCCTCGCTTATGCTCAGAATCTAATACGATGTTTGTTAAACGTTCAGCTGTCACTATGTACACTCTCGCTCGACGATTTATTGGAAAACATATACTCAAAAAACAACAACGGCATAATAATATGACCATATATCTTTTAAAATTATTGTTGTAGTGACTTATCCATTCGGCGTAAAAATTGTAAACAAATGACAGGTGTTGTTAAAAACGAAAATGTTGATAAATGTGCACACTATTTACTGATTGTTATTATACATCATTAATTTGTATACGTAAAATATAAAACTACAATTTCCGGATATCGAAATGAAAATTTTGTTTTGCCACATAAAGAAACTAAAATATATTATAAGAAATAATATTATACTACAGTGATGATAGAGACTTTGAGAAACTGTTATTCAATACTGTCAATCATATTCAGTAAATTTTAATGATAATCTATGAACTCTAGTAACGAACCGAAATATTTAGTTTTTATAATATATATAAGGTTTGCGGATTATTGAATTTTAAATGTTAAAAATATGCAATTAAAATTACAAAAAATTTTCTAAAATGATTGAGGGAAAAAAAGAAATATGGCATTTGATATATTTTTTTTTATGTTTTATGTCTAACGCCAAATAATCACATATTATAGAAGTAAAAGAAATTAAATTAATTGATCTAAGTGATTTCAGAAATATTTACTTATTATTATTGTTTATCTACAAAAATAACTCAATACGTACATATAATAAATATTGTGTGGTGAGTGTCTAGCTATGTTTGCTTTAAAATAATGATTTATTTGAAACAAAATAAATTAATAATTATCTTTATTGTTTTTTATGAACGACGTTCTTCAATTATTTATTGAAAACTTTAATAAATAGTAGTTATTAGCTATTAAAATACCATTGTAGATATATTTTGTTAAGTACTTAATTATTTTAAATTAAGTATTTACTCATAAAAAAATGTTTACAAATGTAATTTAAAATTATTTAAAAACATATTGTTATGAATAATAGCAAATACCTTATAGCAGGATAAATTGTTTGTTTTAATTACTTTAGTGTTCATTATAATTGTTACACGTTCAGTATGTATTGTTATACCAGTCATATGCTATGTACCTACTTTATACTATTATGTTTACTTAATAATTATGTATCATTTGGTACTTCGATTTGAATTTAAACATAATATAAAATTAATAATTAAAAGATTAAAATATAATAAAATATTTTAATCCATCCATGTGTCCAGTTATTATTTGTTATTACTTAAAATTTTTTTTTTTTAACCGCTAGGTCATAAAATTCGAGCAAAACCATATAATATTATAGGTGTTCTTATTTTGTTTTCGAGTTCATAGAATTTACCTCTAACATATCATACATGTAATTCTACGATATATTTTTTTATACTTGTCATTTAATAGAAAATGTACTATTAAAGATAATTTTTCAATTTCATGATTCGATTAAGACTATGTTAGAATTCGAATAATCGATTAATATTTATAAATTCCCTAATTAGGGAAATATTATAGTATGTAATTATTACTAAATCTACTATTATACAATTTATAATTTTTTAATTTGTTTTCGTTTATTTTTTTTTCTATAATTTATTTATTGGTAAAGAATTTAATAAGTACTATTAATGGTAACAATAATTTAAAATAAGGTATACATTATATTAAAATATTTTAACACGTATTGTTTATTGTTAAGAACCACGGGTTTTATTCATCAATGTTACCTATTGAAATTTCCTTAAAACATTTTCTGTCAAAAATGTAGATATATAGTACAATATGTTTGTATAAAATGATATGCGTACCGTATTGAGTACTGCTATTAACATGTTATTTTTTTATTTCGCAATTCATTAAAACGCTTAAGGTTAAATTAATTTTTTTTCACTTGAAGTAAAAATATTATAATATTTTACATATGATGGTTTTTTTTTTTTTTTTAATAACGGAAACGACGAAAACGTAGGTATTCACATTCACAGACATCTAAACGCCAATATATTTCCTGACAGACGTAGCATATTTTTTTATTTTTTTATTGCCAATTCTCACGCCGTTTTTTAAGTTTTTTGCTGAAGTAAATGTTTTCATCGATAAGCGGTATTAGGCTAACACTTAATATGCATGAATGTAATAAAATAATAATTTAAAAACCAGAATGCATATATACTATTAAATTAAGCATTATACGCGAAATTTCGCAAAAAAAAAGTATGTTTGTCTAACAATTTGGTGTGCTTAAAAAAAAAATATGAACCGGAAATGCACTAATGTAATAATGACATATCTACGCTTTAGTTGTTAACGAAAAAACATAAATAATTTAATAATGCGTTAAACGAACAAAATACCGGATAAAGTGAAGATAATGGTGCAGATGATGTATAAAGATTGAAACAACCATCATAATAAAAGATCCGCGAACAAAATCGAAAGGGAGAAAATAAAAAAGAAGGTGGAGTAATTTGGATATACACTTCTTACGTTTAGGTATTATAATAGAAAACCTGAAACGAGATAACAACACGATGTGTTGCTATATATGTTTAAAAGTAACCCTCCTTCATCCTTCTTCATCCTTACCCACAGCCGCCTATACAGAGCCAATAGAATGGAATGCATTATGTATATACCTACTTGGAAAATAAATTGTAAGGATAAAAATTACTGGTTTTTTAAAAATCCTGTATGACATAATTTGGCATTAAACAAGTTGTCGTTCTCGCGAGTCTCTAATATGGTCAGTTGTTCTTACACTAAACCTACCTCTTCCCCAATTCCTATAAAAATTATTTTAGTAAATAAATGAATATAAACGAGAAAAAATATATCCAAAGAAACTTTAGCACTATTAGCATATCTTCCCTTAGATCCTCCCTAAATAAAATTTACTTAACATATATGTACACCTATATATATATATATATTACTTAATGATTAATTAATTACAACAATAATTGTTTATATTGAACAGTATTTTAGGCTTATGAGTAGTACATTAAATATATTCATTCAAACTTAGGAGAATACCTATTTAGTAATTTATTTTGCATAAATTAAATCGTATCTATATGATTAACTCGAAGTAGCGCACAATGCGGTTAAAAAGTAAAAACCTAAACAAATGTATGCAATTTGACTCGTTTATGATTTATAAAATATTTTTGTACAATAGACCTCGTAGATTCTCGGTGATCTTTAAACAAATTCTACTACAATAACGTTGTACGTGACCAAAATACTCGAATTAATTGTATAAACAAAAATTTACACGGATTTTACAAAAAAAATTTAATAAAACCCGTATTCACTTGTTGAAAAAAATCTCATGTTCATTTTTAAGTAAATGAAAAAATAAAAACACATTATGTTTTAATTAAAGACGTCATAAAATTAATCAGATAAAAAACTAATCCATGTAATTTATGTAATATTTTACGACTCTAAACAGCTGAGTATATTTTATTCAATGCGATATTATATGACATCATTTTTATCAACAATATATCGAATTATTATTTATTATAGTCAAAAATTACTGAAAAAAATATTTAATAATGAATTTGGCAATACAAACACCTCTGGTTACATTTAACCCAATAATAGTCTATTTATAATTGTATGCATATTATTATATTATATACGAGTGTACAATCGATAAATGTAATAATGTAATAATTATACGGATTGAGTGAAAATGGTGTAATCGCGATAAATTATAAAAACGGATTAAAACGAAATTAATAAGTGCAATTATAATAATATTATATTATACATCGGATGATGGTGATGTTAATACGCATACCAATTAAATTTTTATAATATTTTGGTATCTGTATACTTTTTAGTCATTAACTCATAACTTATAAGTCACAGGTCCGCACTCAAACATTGCATACGTGCAAGCTGTGTAAGTGTATACTAATACCTATCAGTGGCGTAACCGGAATTTTTATTTGAGACTGACAATTTTTGATGTAGGTATAAGTAGTGAGGATATTAACTATAGAACCCCTTAGTTTAGTATGCTAATATTGCGTGGGTATATAATATTTTAGACTTATGCAATGACCTTTTTACAATAAGTTACAATTTCAATATAATATGATCACATCTTAGTTATTATACGCTTAAATATTTATAGTAAGAAATATATTAAGTACTATATAACGGAACAATATACTTAAATAGCGTATTATAATTTTGTAATTGTATATTATATGTTTGACGTTTGTTGAACATAAATTGTGCAAAGTATAATAAGAAAATTTGCTTAACACCAATATCCTAAGTAATTCTTCTATTTATATTAACAATTAATATATATTATGTTGTATATACTTGCGCTGTTGCAGGAATGCATTCCACGAGCTGTATGCCATACTAGAAAGTCAAAGCTTCGACTCAAGACATCACTTGCAGCTCCAGCAGCTATGGTTCAAGGCGCACTACCTGGAAGCAGAGAAGATCCGCGGCCGATCGCTAGGTGCAGTGGATAAGTACCGGTTACGTAAGAAGTACCCGCTGCCAAAGACAATATGGGATGGTGAAGAGACCGTGTACTGTTTTAAGGAGAAGTCGAGGAACGCGCTGAAGGACTGTTACCTGAAGAACAGGTATCCAACACCGGACGAAAAACGAGAACTAGCACGGCGGACGGGCCTAACACTCACGCAAGTCAGCAACTGGTTCAAGAACCGGCGGCAGCGCGACCGGACGCCCCAGCAACACAGGTCAGTAATAATTATTTAGTTAGATGGTCATTAAGTTGCGAGATCGATCGAAACGTCAAAATTGCGTGCTAAAAACAAAACAAAACAACTTTGTGTCGTGTCATATCGCTTCTAAAAAGATCGTCGAGTTATTTTTTAAATTTTTTTCACTGTTCAAACTTATAAGGTTGACAAGACTACGGTCCTGAAACTCAAAATTGTTAACTTTATTTTGAATCAAATAATAAGTAGGCACATAAATTAAATTAAATCATGATAAACTATAAATATAATAAACTTTACATAACCCATGACGGCCTCGGCATGCATTTTGGATGAACCTATTTAGTGGCTCTTTTAAGCCCAATTACATACCTTTTTATATCAAGACCTTGATTAAAGATTAAATACCTATATATTCCACTGTTGATTACTCGATTTTGGATAGTCCAGATTAGTTTATGTCAACAATAACGATAATTTCGTTAAAAACAATATTTGTTTTTGTACTCGATTCATAAAAACTGTAAAAACATAATGCGTAATTTTAACGCAACAGCGACAAGTAAAATACGAAAAAGTTTAATTTAAGAATTACATTAAGAAACGGTAAAATCTAACTAAACCAAAATTATTATCTAAACTATTTACTACAATAATAGTGAATTTCAAATAATTAAATCAAAATTATTAATTTAATATGAGTAATCGTTTAAAAATAAATTGTTCAAAATGTTAATTTTGTTTGGCTCCTCTATGACCACGACGATATAATCCGTCAAAATACGGCGATTACGACTACTTTATCTGATTGTTTTTAAAAACATTATTTTTTTTTGGATAATTATAAAAACTAGAGCTTTGATTTAATTTACTTAGCATTTATTAATGATATTCAATCTTTATAATGATTAAAAACCTTATAGGTACTTTTTATATTTTTACTTAGCCATTCTTTACACAAAGTATTTTTGTTGTAATATTAATAAACGTCTCAACAGATTGGTCATATACTATTTATATATGTCACCTACCCCGATACTCTTCCGATAATCATCAACGTTATTATTACACGAATAATGAAATTTACGATTCTGGCATTTCTCACTAATCTATAATCATAATATAAACGTGTGATGTAATTTATGTAAAGACAATATACTCTAAAATAACTATATTAATCACGTAATCGCGTGTTGTTATTCTGTTATAATTCACATCGCTGTGACGGTGTAATATTAGAGTTAGGTATTGTTATTATATAAAATGTATTACACACATTTTGTGTTTAAAGTCAACAGTTTACGCGCTTAAAAAGTGTTTCCCTTTATATTCATATGCAATTGGACGTCAAACAAAAACGAAACAGTATTTTTCACACACGTCGCGTAAACAGACCTGATATTGTATAATAAATAATAATACTATAGATTAAACTTAAACATACATACATATTTAATCCATGATAATACTATGATAATAATAGTATAATTACTTCTTAATTTCGCCGCTACACACCATCGTGATAATAACTTTGTACAGATAATACGGAACGTTTCAAAAAAGAAAAAAAATCGAGATTTAAAACATTTTGAAGATGTAAACAGAACTAAATTGTTTTGAACCCGTTTTTGAACTATGAAAAAAAAAAAAATTCGTTTAATTGTTTAATTTGTTTTTGGTTAACATAATTCACAGAATAATGGTAAAACGATCGTCTGCGCAACAACGAATGGTGACTGACAGTATAGTGTTTATATTATTATGTACTATCAAAGTTATTATGAAAACATACAAATATACATACGTTATACAAGAATAAGTTATCGTTAAGGAAATAAAAATGTAAATAGGTAGTTGAAAATTCACGAATGATATTATTTATTTATTTCAAGGCTAAATTATTAATGATTGTTGTTGTTTTTTTTATTTTCTTTGCTTTACTATAGTACCTATGTTTACGCCACCATTTAAATGTATAATATACTGCACAGTATATTATAACTGCAGTTATACATATGTACATATAATTAATATACTTAAATATGTGCATCAATAAAATCAATAACTCGTGAACTCATAAAGGTTTTTAACCATGTTAATATTATTTTATTTTTTTCGTAACAAAGTAAAAAAATAGGATCAATAGTTATTTATATATGCATATATAATATATCTTATAAAATGTAACTATAGGTATACATATTTAAGTGTATACAAAATAAAAAACCAATTAGCCATTAAATTAATTACAGTATTCAATATAATTCATATAAAATGTTTTGTGTACATAAAACTAACGAAATCTATAGAAATAATTATTAAATGTTAATTCTGTTATATTTTTATTATTATTTCCTGAGATACGTTATTTAACGTACTCAATTAATATTATTGCCGTTTTAGACCACAATTATTTATTTTTTTTGTTCAGCACACAGTATAATAATGAATATATATAGTTTATATGATTCGAATGAAAACGTTTTATTTGTATGGTTAACCAAGAATTTAGTTATATATGCAGACATTATGTTTTACCCTAAATTACAACATTTCGAAAAGATTGACAAAAGCGATTAGTCAACTAGTCAATTGCATAACACATGTGTAGCATAAAAATTGACGTGGACCAGTCCTAAATGGAAAACCATAAGACCAGACTTTTTCTCCAAAATTCCTATTCGGGACAGAATCTCATTAATAATTGATGCCATACATTCATAAGGACCGATTTCAAAATACGCGCATAGCAATATGAAATATGTTTTTCTGGTTTAAATTTAAATAACGACTCTATAGATATATTTTATAACCCACTAACCCAGTAGCGTTACCAATCGACTATTATAGTAACCGCATGTTTATTATTAATACCATCATACGTGCATATAAAATATTATACCTAATGTTTTAAAATTTTTAAATAATTACTTATTTCAAAATCATTCTTGACCATTTGTAAAATCAAAAAAATCAACAGCCATGTTAGTTTCACACAAATGGTAGGCTTTCAGGTAAGCATGTGTATAGAGTTATTCACCAACCATGCTCATTGCTCATTGATCATCGACAATTTTTATGTATAGATACTTAAGAACCATATTATGTTCAAATAATTAAATTTTTTCTTATAATTTAAGAATTGTTCTGTGGTGATACAAAATTTGTTGTTTCAAATAAAATCAACGTTTTACACTGCAAATTTTTAAGCAGATGATTTTTTTTTCAAACGTTAGCATATATAAATCAAAATTTAAACGAATAGTTTAAAATTTAAATAATGAACAATTTAAATGTATCTATGTATACTAAGGAGTAAGGATGAGATAGTCCTTAAAAATAGTTTTATGAATTATGAAATAGATATTATGTATTACTGAATCTATATTAAAAACTAAAAAGTATTTATTACTCTCAAAAATGTTTACAAATTATAAAATATTTTTAAATTAATATCAATTACTCTTTTTTCAATAAAATTTTCAAATCATCATAGCTCTCATGGATCGAATATTGTAAACTTAAATTCGTTATGAATTTATTACTCTTAATTCAAAATGCTAAATAACTCAAAAATTTCCTCTTCAAATTTCGATATCGATATATCAACATTTTCTAAAAATTACCTGATTAACAATTTACAGGGAAGACTTTGGCTATCATTTTAAAAACGATGTTAGTATCGCTAAAACTCATAAGATGCTTCTTAAATGATATAAAAATCTAAGTGCCTACTTGAACATATGGCAATTAAGTAGCTTTATTAAAAAATCCTCACAATTTCATTAGGGTTATTAAAAGAAAAATGAAGGTGAGTAGTATTTTTAGTGAATTGCTCTGTATATAATTTGTATGTCTATGGTTTTGGACGTGCGCGTTTATATGCTATACAGTTATTAGTCTATAGTATAATGATATGTATTAGAGGCATATAGTTCTACACACTAACCAACAATACCTAAAACATATATATATACATTTATTATTGTATAACAACTACCTACGAAAACAGGGAAACTTAAAATATTGTATTAGGTGGGAGAAAAAAATATTAAAATCTTCGTAAACGTCGTCGTCGACAACGGCGGCGGCATAACGTTTCCGTAAAGAAAATCAAGCAGTCGTGTTTGCCATTAAACGCATATATTTAATATATAGAGTGACGGGGGCGGCGGGTTGTCCGACGGTCAAGCCCGGTAGTACAAACATATAATAACAGTGAGTGCCGACTACCGAGTTTACGATGTTATTGTGTGTATATGCGCACACATGTAGAATATATTATATTATAATATATATATATATATATATATTGGTATGTGTGTGTGTATGTTCAGTATTTACTCCGTGTCCAAAAATTTACGAGAGAGAGAGAGATCATGAAAGGTATAATATATAAAGAGAGGTCTAGGGAAGTATATGTGTAGAGTGAATGAGAGAGACTGAAAAGAACCGCGCGTCCCTTTTGGTGGAACACGTGTTTGCTAATCACACATTCTTGTATTTCGGCGTCCGTGACAAATTACCCTCCACCGCCGCCCCACAACAGTCGTCGCCTGAGCCGTTTACGCGCACTCCGTCCGTCTGTCTAATCACGTTGTTACCAGATTTGCTGGGTATATACAGATTATCTAGTCGTTCCCCGTTGTTTCAACCACTCCTACCACCATTTCACCCTAATGTCGTCCTTACACCATTGCTTCCAAAACCACTCTGCACATACCCTCCCCTGTTCTTATACTCAACAAAATCCTTTAGAACGATCCCAATAAAACATATTGATTTGTATACATGTATATAGTGCAAGTAACTATTGTACCGTACTACAGTTGCCAGTTATATATCGGTACGGCCAGTACCGATAATATGTGAAAATTATTTCAACATTAAAATTATATTTGATCATGTCAGATCTTCATGATACAGTGATACACCATGTGTCTCTTAATTTTGAGTAGGTACTCGTATATACATCATTATAGATGGAGTAAGACGACGATCTGTCTAGGTCATTGCAC